CCCTAGAGGGGGTGGCTAATCATCTGCCAAGTTAGCTTAGATGTAGCTCTAGTTGGGACTTCTGAAAAGTAGTAATTAGTCTCGTATATAAACCAAACATTTTACCTTTCTAATAATCTACTCAAGTAAAATACTTTTTGAAATGTTTCCACAAAATAGATCACTGTTCACTGCAAATTCTGACATAAGCCTCTAGGAGTCAGTGTACCTGTTTTTATTTGACTACCTCCCAAATTGTGCACTTTACCACCACCAAGCGCAGCAATAACAATTCGTTTGGCTGCAGCAGTTGACTTACAGAGCAGCTCCTTTTTGGCGGTGGTGGTGATGTGCTGTGGAGTCAGTTCTGACTCATAGCGACCCTGTGAAGGGTTTCCAAGGCTGTCAATCTTTACGGGAACAGAAAGCCTCATCTTTCTTCTGTGGAACAGCTGGTACTTTCAAACTACTGCTGACCTTGTGGTTCACAGCCGTAAGATTGGAGGATTGGTAGAAGCATGTGCTTCGAACTGTCAAGACTCCTTTGAGGACTTGGGCACTTTGCCACATTGGTTGTGGCCTTGGTTCCTAAAAAGTCGCTGGCCCCCTGGATTTTCCATATAGGAATTGCTTAATTAGCAGATGTTTCGGTGTGTGCATTTGCACATGCATATACAGAAGGGTATTTGGTGCCTAAAAAAAAAAAAAAACAAGCCACTGTTTCCTTGGCTGTAATCTTTAAGGAAGAAGATTGCCAGGCCTTTCTTCTGTGGTACCACTGGGTGGGTCTGGACCATCAGCCTTTAGATTTGTAGTCATATACAAACCATTGGTGCCACTCAGGTTATTTATTACATAGCTGTTGAATGCAGATGAAAGGTTAATTAGGTTTATAAAAGGAACAATTAATGCCTTCTTGAGAGTACTATAAGGAGCCCTGGTTGTGCTGTGGGTTAGGTGTTGGGCTGCTAACCACAAGTCGGCAGTTCAAACCCACCAACTCCTCCATGGAGAAAGATGAGGCTCTCTGCTTCCGTAAAGACTGTCTCAGAAACCCTATACAGGGTTGCTAGAAGTCAGAATCAACTTGATGGCAGTGGGCTTAGTTGTTTTTTGTTTTACGAGCGTGCTGGGAATGAGATATTATATGAAAACATGGATAACAAACCTAAGATATTCTTAGTACCAACAGGACAAAAGAAGGCTTGAAAGTCTGCTGTCAGTTTATTTGCTATGAAGCTACTGGCAAGTTGAAGGTAAATTTCATTTAAAGACACAATGAAGCTCTGCTTTACCTTTATCTTTATAATCATTTTGGAGAAGGTAGGGGATTGTTTTTTCTGATTAGATTCCTCAACAATAGGATATAGCATAAATGAACAAAACATAGTTTCCAGAAGGGCATGGAGTTTTATTCAGAATAAAAATACATTATAAAAATAGTTATTTCTGCTTCTTTTAGTGGTTTTTCTGGCTCCAACGCCCTTCTGGTATTAGATGGATCTGCTGCGCTGGAGAAAATCTGTGGTCAGGCACTATGGGTCTCATGGGAAGAAGGGATCAACTTGAGCAGATCACACTCTCCATTGTAGAAGATGTGCCTCTGCTGATGTAAGCACATCGGACAAGAAATTTAACTATTCAGGCAATTGTAGGATGCAAGTTTAATATCTTGTCTCCTATAGATAAGTATTGTTTTAATTTAGGACAAAATGAGAATAGCATCTTGCATTAATGATTTCAGAACCTACATTTAAAAATTGATACTTGTGTTTATGTAACTATGATGATATTGGAAATTAGAAAATAAACAAATGGGTATTTAAAAATCAACAAGTGATATTTCAAGAAAGGATTTGAAGCAAGAAGCCTTTTCCAGTTCCTTCATAAACGAGTGTGGGTGGGTGGCTGTGTGGGTCATAAATTACTAAGAACAATGATTTTCCTAATTGTACTCCAGAATATGCCAAAGGAAAACCTTTTTGCAGTCTTAAGACTTTTATCTCCTTATATTTTAGAAGGATTTATCTGTAGAATGGTTTTTCTAATCAGCACTATCTGAAGCACTATGGGTGATAAAAGGCCAAATGTGTAAATTCTTCTTGAGTTGAATTTTTATGTATAACACAGATGGTATTCTAGTATTTACCATACCAAGCTGAAAGGAATGATTAATCTTTATCACCCATGTGCTATATGAAGTTAAAATATAATTTATATTGACAATTAATACTGTAGATTCCACTTTATGATTAATTCCAGGAACACAAAATTCTGCATCTTCAGTGGAAAGTGTACTGTTTCAGTTCCACCAATATCTTCAGAGAGTTTTCAGTTTGTCTTTCTCTTGCTCTTTTGGACTGCAGAGTGTGAAAGATTCCTGCACAAACTGCCTGCACATTGGGCACTGCTGGAAGTACTTGACACACCCGTCACACAAGCACGTGTGCCGGCACGGCAAAAGCACCCAGTTCACCGGCCCATTCTGGCACACCACACAGTCCTTGCTGTTCTCCTCCGGGGGCCCCACTTCACCTTCACCGAGTCCTGCCTTTTCCAACAAACTCTGGTCTATGCTCTTTTCTTCTGGAGAAGTACTGCTCGAGGGAGTGGAGTTATTATTTGCAGACATGAAAAGTTGCTGGAAATCAAAGACAATTGCAGCTAATTACAAATGGCATAGTCTTTACATCTGGGGCTCATAAAAACTGGTGCAAATGTACGTGCTAGCAGACCCAAGTAAAGTGTGAACTCATTTGCAGAGACTAGAGGGAAACCAAGAAAACAGAGAAACAGAATACCTTCTCTTAAAAATGTCTAGGATTTTAGGACTCTGAATGGCATATGCCACACAAAAGTAGCAATTCATGTACCACAAAGAAGAAAATATTTAGGTTTTAAAAAACCCTTCATTTATAATACTGAATTGGCTAACTTTATACTATAATAAGTCACTGAAAAATATAATAATCTCTTCACAAATAAAAATAAGTCATTTCTTTGAAACTTCTCAAACAAAAGAGACAGAGCTGTTACATGTACAACTTACCTTAAGATCATGAAATTGACCTTGAGCCAGGAGTAAATATTGATACAATATTCTGCAGGAGAGCTTGTAAGTCTTATCAGGAATATGAATTACTGACACCATTGAAATCTGAAAAAAAAAAAAAAAGAACAATGGTAAATAGACCATCTTATAGTACTACACAAATGCATGAGAAATTCATGTTAAATAAACTAAGAGACTGATAAATTAGAAAACTTATACTAATTCATTTAATTACAGTCTTTGAAGAGGAACATATTTTTGCCTGAGTTACTATTTTTAATCTGAGTTATGTTAGTTATGCTCAAATTCTGATTACAAATATAGATGAATTACTGTGAATTAGGTAGAAATCCTGGGGGAGTAAATCTATATTCAAAATAAATAAGCCCGCCTTCTCACATTGGTGGTGGTGGTTGTGTGTCATGGAGTCGGTTCCAGCTCATAGTGACCCTGCATAGGGTTAATGGCTGTAAAACTTTACAGAGCAGAAAGCCTCATCTTTCTTCTGTGGAGCGGTTGGTAGTTTCAAACTGCTGACCTTGAGGTTAGCAGCCCGATTCGTAACCACTATGCTACCAGAGCTCCTGCCTTCTCATATTAAGACTGTAATAAATAGTTTGCCTTACCTTCTAATAATAATCACATTTGGAAAAGGAGCAACAGTAATAGACATGTTCAATAAACATTAAAATATTGGCTTTTTAGGAATAACACATGAAAATACAGCATTAAAAGCAGTCTATTCCTATTCTTTACTCAAATTGGTTAATACTAAAAAGTGTCACAACTGGTTACCATTTTGTCCACAATAGGCACATGGAAAGATGTTAAAAAATTTATTAAGGAAATATAAATTAAAGTCACAATAAGATACTATTACACACAGTTACCAGTTGGGCTGCAGACCTCAAGGTCAGCAGCTTGAAACTACCAGCGGTTCCCACAGTAGAAAGATGATACTTTTTACTTCTGTAAAGATTTATAGCCTTGAAAACTCTATGCAGGGTCCCTGTGAGTTGGAACCGATTCCACGGCATACCACCACCACCACCACCACCACCACCACACACCTATCAGAATGGTCAAAATTTAAGAGATTGACCAAACCAAGTGTTGGTGAGGTTGTGGAGGAACTATAACTCTCTCAACATACTGTTAATGGGAGTGTGACAAATGGTAAACCACTTTAGAATACAGGCAGGTTCTTAAAAAGCTAAACATATACCTTCTCTATGATTCAGCCATTCTGTTCTTGTGAAGACTGCTATTAGAATGTTGATAACATCTATACTAATATCCAAACACTGGAAACAACTCAAATATCATCAATAATAGATGAGCGGATAAATAAATTGTGGTATATTCAAATATGTTACAAAAAGGAATAAAGTACTTGATGAATATGGATAAATCTGAAAATAGTGATCCTGAGCAAAAGAAACCCAAGAGTATGTAATATATCATCCTATTTCTAGAATACTGTAGAACATACAAACTATATATATGTGTATATAGTGACGCTAAACAGATAAATGGTTTCCTGGAAACTAGGGAGGAGGCAAAGAGGGAACAGGGAAGACACAGACCTTACAAAGAGGCATGAGGAACCTTTTAGGTGTCATGTGTATATTCATTATCTTGATTGTGGTAGTGGTTTCATGGGTGTATACATTACGTCAAAACATCTCATTACGCACTTAATATAAGCAGTTTATTGTATGTCAATTATACTTCAATAAAGCTATTACAAAGTTAGGAAATCTTCCTTAGAGTAGGAACAGAGTGAGCTACAAAGCAGGATGTTGTTGTTGTTGTTGTTGTTAAGTGCTGTCAAGTCAGTTCTGACTCAGTGACCCTGCCTAGGGTTTCTAAGGAGCAGCTGGTGAGCTTGAACCGCTGACACTGCAGTTCACATTGACTTTGCAGTCCAACACATTAACCCATAGCGCCACACCAGTATTCCAAATTAAGAATAAAGTACATTAATCCAAAGCATACTCTGTAAATATGCTTCAGCTCCATTATTAGGTCCAGTCTGAGGGGAAAAAAAAATCAAGAATCAAAAGAAGGAAAGAAACAAAAAATAATAGGGAGGGAGTCAGCAGATACAAATATTGAAAGACACCCAAAAGGAACCATATAAGGAGATATGTAAAAGACAAGAGAAAATTACTATGAACCCTTTGGAGCCAGGCACCTCACAACTATAGCTGGACCAGGTGGACGTCCCTCAGGTGAAGAAGAGACCTGACAATAAACCCTTTCTTGCTGAGAAGGAGGAGGAGGAAGAAAGTTAGAAAACAACAACAAAAAGGAATCAAAAGGGGAAGCTGGAAGAGAAATGAGCTCTGATCTTTTTGTTCGAAATAGAAGGAAAGGAAAGGAGCAGAATTCCAAAGCACTTAGAAGAGATGAGGGGGTACAATGATAAGAAGGGTTACCTTGGCCAGGCAGGCAGAACAGAGAAGCTAGAAACGTGAAATGCTAGCTCAACAGGTCTTAGTTATCCTCAGTTGAATGAAGAAGAAGAAAGGGAGGGAGAGAAGGAGGAAGAAAGGAAAGAAGGAAAACAGAAGATCTCTCCTACACCACCTCATGCACAAGGAACCAAGAAGTTGTTCTGCTGTCAAATTTATCAAGCTCACTAACACACGGTATGACTTTTAACTGAAAAAAAACATGATGACTTCAACTCAATAGAACTTCAATTTGATAAGAGATTAAACACACATACACATAGGAGTGCTGGTAGTGTAGTGGTTACAAATTGGGCTACTAACCTCAGGGTCAGTAGTTCAAAACTACCAGCTGTTCCATGGGAAAGGATGAGACTTTCTGCTCCTGTAAATATTTAAACCCTCAGGAACCCTTCCTAGGCTCGCTATGAGTCGGAACTGACTCCGCAGTACATAACCACCAACCACCACCACACATACACACCAACTACAGACACTTAACTACAAATGAACAGGGTCTATACTTCCCAATAAAAATGTGCAGCTTTGAAAGCTCAATGCCTGCTTATTTTGGGGAGATGTCCTGGTCACTGAAAGGGCACTGGCCTAGAACTTACAGGGCGTGGAGGCAGGCCCAGGTTCCATCTTCTACTGGATGAATGAACAGTGTTTTTCTTTGAGTTTGCACTAACCAACAAGATTGTTAAAGGAATTGCTAAGTTAATATTAGTGGAAAGGTATAATGAATATATCTATAGCAAGGAGTTCCTGGGTAGTGCAAGCACTTAACACATTGCTGCTAACTAAAAGGTTGGAGACTCAAGTCCATCCAGAGTTATGCTGGAAGAAAGGCCTGGAGATCAACTTCTGAATAACCTGAAAACCCTACAGAGCACAGGTCTACTGATACACAAGGGGCCACTATAAAGCAGAGTTGACTCAACAGCAAATTAATTCTCTCTCAAGCACTTTAGAAAGGAAGGCAGTTGTGCATAAGGTTGTTCTTACTATGATGCAAGTTCATCCAACGTTTATTTCCTGTGTAAGTATCTGCCATACTTATAGGGCTGCAAGGGCTCAGGTTCACTTAGATCTTTTATCTAAGATGCTTTTATCTTCCCAATAGGGATAAAGATAAAAATAATTAGCATATAATAGGAAGATTACTATCATTACTCAAAGTTTTCAGACTATACATAACGTAAGTCGTTGGTACAGCAGGAGCTATGAAAGACACTATGTGACTGCAAACATGCAAAGAAAACACTGGATACTGTCTTAAAATTGAACACCTCAGATTATGATGATCCTTGTTTATTCAGTGCTAAAAATGTGAAGAATAAACATGTTTCCTCAGAGCCTTTTCCTATATAGCAAATGTGACAGAATACAAAAAGATAAAATGAACTTATTAATTCAATCATCTCTCATTTTCCTATG